TGAAGAGGTTCTGACAGATTTTTAAGATAGAACCTCCTGAAGACACTTTCTTCAGATGCATTCCTCTCGCTTGGACTCAATGCTCCACAGGCTAGTTCCGCAGTTATCATTCCTAAACCCCAAACATCGGAAACTGTTGAGACGGTTCTATTAGACACCACTTCCGGTGCCATAAATCCGTCTGTGCCTCCAAAACTGATCCATTCAGATGCCATTAGATTCTTTGATAATAAATCATTTGAACGATCGAAATCTGAGAGCATGAGGTGTCCCGAGGGAAGGAGAGTTACGTTTTCCGGTTTCAAATCCATGTGAACAATTCGCAACTGATGAAGTTTCTCAAGAGCGCACATTATTTCAGCCACATAAAAGAGTACTGAGTACTCATTCATTCGACCGAAAGTTTTGAGAATATCAAAAAGGTCCTTTCCAGTTGAGAGGTCTATGACAAGAACTGATGAAGTTTGGCCAATCATGAAGCTGTGATATAGTGTGGGGAGAAAAGGTGAGGTGATTTCCGCCTCTTGCAGGCGCTTGAAAACGTTCCACTCTCTAATCGCACATTGAATCGCACCAGATCGATAAAAAAAGGTTCGTTTGAAGGCAAATCGTTGGCCATTCTCACCTCCATCCCCCCTTCTTTCAACTTCGTATACCAGGGAATAACATCCGCGACCTAAGAACTTCTTCACGTCATACATACTCCCGTATAGTTTGTGTTGCCAGTTTTCACAAGTATTTAAATTTGCTATTTGAAATGTAGCTACATAGTAATTTTATATATTTTTTTAAAAATTTGGACCTTTATTCATTAAGATAATTCATATTGAGTGAACTATAATAGATAAAATTATCTTTAAATGAAAGAGCTTTGAAATAGAAACGAGTGTGATTAAGTAGTGCGAGCCGCTATCAGACAATCTTAGCAGTAATGATGAATGAATCCGGGGGGAAGAAGGATCCTTTCGGTATGGCCTTGCCCCAAGAGGATTTATCCCAAATGAGAAAAGCAGACTTTTCGCAATGAATTTCTGACCGCACAATTTGGAAAGTTTCGGTTTGGTATGTCAACTAATTAATCAATGTCTCTTAATAACTAATAGAATTCGCATTTCCAAACCTCTTTTCCTAGCAAGTAACAATGTGTTTTTCGTAATAGTAAATGCCAAAATGCGATTTTACTCTTAACATTATTTAATTTTCATTTCATGCGCCTATTGGCTTTAATTAAATTAATTAATTAGAGCATTCCAGAACAAATTCAGAGGTCCAAAGTATTTTGTCAATTATTTTTACAGCCATTGACGAGGGGTTGATATAGCAAAATATTCTAAAGATCAGGGGGTTAATAATGAGAAGTAGACGGATTCCAAATGTTGAATGTGATTTTATCTCGAATTTGAGGGCATTTTGCATAGGACCTGTGCCCGAATCCCAGACGAATTATGGGTCACCATAAACTTCTAGAGGACTGCGATATTAATGATATTTATCTATTTCAAATGGCAGCCGTTTTGACAGATATCATTAGCCATTTAGCTGACTTCGGGCTTCACAGAGGGAAGGTTCATCAAAGTTGCAGAAAGTCGAGGGGTGGGGAACAGAAGAGCGATTCATAGATGTAAAAGAGGCATACAGACACAAAGGTAGGGAAAAAGGTAAGGTGGGTACTGTGAAAGGGGTCGAATATGACATAGAGTTGGACCATGGTAGTTTGAAGTTAGACGTCAACTGCCGATCAATAGACTTTTTTTGCCGTATAAGTATACGTTGCCCAGGGTGCACCACGTGGAGGTAAGTCTATTGAGCACCTACATTATCAAATCATAGTGGTCAGTCAAAGCTTCTAATTTATTTAAGCTTGGCGATGATTTTCCCAAGAATTATTTATATCAAATGGCAAGCTTATGATAGTTATTATTAGACCTTTAGTTGACTTTGGGCTTCACAAAGGGGAGAAACGGACAAAGTCTAACAAAGTCGGGGGGGGGGGGGGACAGAAAGGTGATTCACAGATGTAATTGAGTTAGGCATAAAGATAAAGAATATGGAAAAGTGAGTACTGTGAAAGTGGTCGAATATGACATAGAGTTGGATCATGGTAGTCTGAAGTTAGAAGTTAACTGTCGGTTAAGACTTTTTGTCACATGAGTATTCGTTGCTCAGATTGCACCACGTGGAGGTAAGTCTGTCGTGCACCCAACCCCCCCCCCTTTATAAACAGTAAACAGAATAAAGGCTAAAGTGACATATTGCAAAATGCCATTTGCTTAACACTCTTCACTAGTCTTAGGTAAAATCTAAAAATGCACATCCTCCTTGATTTGCAACCGTCTGTCAAATAACGCGAAACATCTCCAGGGTATTAAAAATGCCTCATGACCTAGTTATTCCTTCCAGATAATTGGCAAATTTGAAGAAGAGAATTGTATCAAAATCATTTCGACATTCAGAGGCATGACTATTATAGAAATTTCAAATTTGTCAATTGATGGAGAACAGAAAAAACGCTGTTCCGCGTACAGTTTGGCTCATCTCATGTCGTTAGATTTGATTGGGTGGGACTCCTATTGCAGTAATTTTTCATTTACTGACTAGTCCCTTGGTCCTTAACCCACCGCCAAGCAAAAATAAATGAGCCTCTTTACGGCTGAAAAATATCAGTCATTATAAAATTCGTCAAAAGATTGCTCTTCTTATTATGCCTTTTGCATTGTAAAAGCTCCTAGGTCACTTGTCCTTCATTAAAACCGCTTCTGTTTCAAAGTGGACTGAAGAAATTGAGGACATATAAACTGTTCTGTTCTTCCAAAGAGGGGATAGGCTTGCCTCTACGTGGTGCACTCTGGGCAACGTATACACGGCAAAAGAGTCCGGGTGCACCCTGGGCAACGTATACTCATACAGCAAAAATCCTCCACGTGGTGCACCCTGGCCAACGTATAATCATACGGTCTTACCTCCACGTGGCGCACCCTGGGCAATGTATACTACACCTTACCTCCACGTGGTGCACCCTGGGCAACGTATTCTCATTCGGCTTACCTCCGTGGTGCACCCTGGGCAATGTATATTTAGACTTACCTCCACGTGGTGCACCCTGGGCACCGTATACTCATACGGCAAAAAAGTCTATTAACCGGCAGTTGTTGCGATAGACTTACCTCCACGCGGTGCACCCTGGGCAACCCACTCATACGGCAAAAAAGTCTATTAACCGGCAGTTGACTTATCACTTCTCATACGGCAAAAAAGTCTATTAATCGGCAGTTGACATCTTGACTTCTGACTTCAAACTACCATGACCCCACTGTATGTTACAAAGTATACTCATACGGCAAAAAGTCTATAAACCGGCAGTGGACTTCTGACTTCAAACTACCCTCACCCCACTATATGTCACAACTTCTCACTTCAAACTACCATCACCCCACTGTATGTCATTGTGTATGCGCATACGGCAAAAAAGTCTATAAACCGGCAGTTGATCTAACCCTAACACGGCAAAAAGTCTATAAACCGGCAGTTGACCTCTGACTTCAAACTACCATGACCCCACTGTATGTCATATTTGGGCAACAGACCTCATACGGCAAAAAGTCTATAAACCGCTGGGCAACGTATACTCATACGGCAAAAAAGTCTATTAAAGGCAGTTGACTTCTAACTTCAAACTACCATGACCCCATTGTGGCAGTTGACTTCTCACTTCAAACTACCATCACCCCATTGACGGGCAACGTATACTCATACGGCAAACAAGTCTATAAACCAATGGGCAACGTATACTCAAACGGCATACCTCCACGTGGTGCACCCTGGGCAACGTGTACTTACAACCTCCATGTGGTGCACCCTGGGCAACGTATACTTATGCGGAAAAAAGTCTATTGACTGGTACTTCAAACTGCCCACGTGGTGCACCCTGGGCAACGTATACTCATACGGCAAACAAACGTGGTGCACTCTGGGCAACGTATACTCATACGGCAAAAAAGTCTATTAACTGGCAGTTGACTTCTGACTTCAAACTACTATAACCTCACTGTATGTCATATTCGACCACTGCCACAGTACTCACCTTACCTTACCTCTTTCTCTACCTTCGTGTCTGTCTGTCGCTTTTACATCTGTGGATCTCTTTTCTGTTCTCCCTCTCGACCTTTTAGTCACTTTTATGTTCCTCCCCGCCATGAAGCCCGAAGTTAACCAAGGGTCAAATAATAACTACCATTTATTTATACCAAATGACAGCCTTTATGGTAACTGTCATTAGCCTTTTAGTTGACTTCGGGCTTCACAGAAAAGAGGAGGAATATCAAAGTAACAGATAGTCGAGGGGTGGGGTATAGAAGAGTGATTCACTGATGTAAAAGAGACAGACAGGCACAAAGGCAGAGAAAAGGTAAGATGAGTACTGTGAAAGTAAGGGAATATGAAATGCAACAAAGGTAGATGAAAGGTGAGGTGAGTACTGTGAAAGTAATAGAAGAGCGATTCACAGATGTAAAAGAGACAGACAGGCAAGGTAGAAAAAAGGTGAGGTGAGTACTGTGGAAGTAGTCGATTGGCAGAGAAAAGGTAAGATGAGTACTGTGAAAGTGGTCGACTATGGCATACAGTGAGGTCATTGTAGTTTGAAGTCAGAAGTCAACTGCCAGTTAATAGACGTTTTTGCAGTATGAGGGTGCACCACTTGGAGGTAAGTCTATCATAGAGCCTGCCAATTGATATAAATAAATCTTGTCAACGATAAAATTAATATGTTAATGCAAGACCCATAAAGGGACCCTCCAAGTTGTAAAGTTATTATTTATTTCTAATTCGGAGGCAATGATTTTTCTAATTCCTCTTATTTGACACAATTCAATTTGGTTTTTCAACACTCGCAAAGCTCTCAATCTGTACCAACCGTTTGTTTACTACTGCATTGTTGTTGTAACTCATTGAAAGTTCGATTCATTTGAAGTTGTAACGCCTGTAATCATTTGTACATTGTCTACAATATAGATAAAATCAAGTTTATTAAAGCTATAAAGCGACTTATTTACCAGAAATTAACGGGGTTTTCCGAAACTTCGGCCGGGGCGTCTAATCCGAAAATTCCCTTTCATGAAACTATGAAGAGAAGCTGTAAGACTGCATTTTAACTTATAACCGCCCATCCGGAAAACCCCGGTATTTTTTATAGTGCCACTTAATTTGGAAGCTAAGTAACAATAATTGCAACAATGTTATTAAGTGGGGTGTACGAAGCCACCAAGTCTGTGCAAAGAAATCTCATGCCCATTAAGTCAGTCTCGATGGTAATCCCGTTCTGCTGATCGCGTTGCGGTGGGATGGGGTGGGGGGTGGGGGGTGGGGATGGTGGAGGAGGGGGCAAGCACTGTCGTGAGTGCATGCAACCACAAATTAATAGTTAATAGTCATAGTGACGCGCAACCAGAATAAACGCAATTCACATCATGTGCTCTGTCCCCTGGATATTGTTGAGGTTGCTTATCTAATCTCGGGATCAATTTCAAACCCAGGGGATTTTGCCAAAGTGATTGTTGAGGCTAATTTGTGCGGTAGCTGCTACAAGCGTCAGTTCAGAATAAGTGGAAATACATAACTGCAAATGTTAAACTAAATATGGTTATTTAGTAAAGTAGCCTAATATGCGCACAAAAAAAAACAAATATAATCTTTTAATTTAATT